AATTAATATACACTTTTTTTCTTATATGTATATATATATATATATAAATATATAAGAGTTTTAGTTGTAAATATATAAAGAAATTATGACAAAATAAAAAGATGGCAATTTTCATTAAAGGACGTGGAGACTCTCACCGAAAGGCATAAATTCTTTGCTTCACCGTTTTTAACTTGTCAAAAGTTCAATCCAGTGCGCTGGACCTTGCGCTCATAAAATGGGTGTTTGGCACGTATTATGATTTTACAACTAGGAAGGACTTGGCAGCAGTTCTGCCAAACACATATATAAAATAATAATAATCAATTGATGCTGATAGTTTGCTGCATCTGCAGTAACTGCTTTGGATTTGCTTGGATTGAACTTATTTGTCCTAAATTGGATAGTTTTAATTTAGAGAATTTGAATTATTTACAAGATGATGATTAGGTTACGTTTACTTCTTGTATTTTTTTTTTCTTTTGAACAGAGGGGAGAATTGGGGAAAAGGGGGAATAGAAGTTACTATTACAGTTTAAACTCTGATTGAAATTAAGAGTTAGGTGCACCTGAACTAAGGCAGTTAAAGTTGTGGGTGCATCTGCTTCTTGTATTTTGATATAAGTTCTATATTGAAAAATAATATAAGTTAATTGATGAAACTTGTTAAATGAAACATAACTTAACAATCTAGTTCCTTACGAACTAGTAAGTCCTTAGCTTATTCCTTAAAAATAAGTACTTTCCATAAGTTTTAAACATGGCTTACATTGCACTCGTTCAAATGTTCTAATCTTATTCCTTGCAAATCCAACCTATGATGCCTCTCCTTGTAGAAAGAGCTGCAGCAAAAAGAGTTTGAACTTCTTTACTCTCTAGTACATACAGACCATATTTACACCTCCCTCTAGTGATTTTCCCCGATTGTAGATCATTCACCAAAAATAATATCAGGAGTCAAAATGGAGGCACATTGAAATTGATTAACAAATTGAGACACTAATAAGATGTTCCTTTTAAAAATTGGAACAAGAAAAACATCAGGAGCAGCTAAGGATCCCATTGAGGATGAAATCAAAGCTTTAACAATATGAGTGATTGGTAATGGAAATCCATCTCCCATAACAATACAAGAATGCCCTATATGGGACAATATATGGTAGTAAGCTTACCAGAGTATTCAGTCAAATGACCAAAAGCTCCTGAGTCTATAGCCCAACTGCCCTTAGAAATTGTTGAAGAAGAGGCTACAGAATGTGTCGAAGTTGCTAGTTCATTTTGATTTTTGTACCTATAAGAACATTCTGGAGCAAGATGGTTGAATTTCCCACAAATCTGGCAAGCCTGTGCATTAGCTGGAAGAATTCTACTGCCATCAAGATTATGTCTAGATCCCGGATACTGGCAATAATTCTTATAACAGAAAAAACCACTGTAATAACACAGTATAACAACTAAAAAACAAATCTATCATGTACCTTAGATGAACAGGACTAATATATACAAAAAGAAAGCCTCAAAACATTGCATTTCATATCCACTGAATTGTTAGTGATACTGCTTCAAAGTATTCTACAAAGTTTGGTTTAGTAGCATTTATATTTGCAAAATTTGATTTCTGGATTTGAAGACCCATCAATTCCAAGTTACAAATGATAACTACAAAATATAGTACTTAAATTACAACCAAATCTTTTAACATATCATATGTACTTAATGCTAATAGTGATGATTGAAACTTTGAAAGAGGCCATGAAGTCAATACCTGATTCAAACTACAGATGTTCGAGGCAAAATCACTATTCTAAAGTCTCATAAATTTGTAAGATAGCTTTACTAATTAAATAACTCCAAACGGAAAGCATGGATCACCTACTTCCATAACAAAAAAAAACCAATTAAAAAAAATACCAATATAGAAGCTTCACTTTCCAAAAAGTTATTTCCAATTACTCCACGGAAACCAGCAACATTATATACAAGTGCAGATTCTGCAGAATACTTTTAGTCCTCAAAACAGTATAATGTAATTACCAAATTTAGTCACTACTCACTAGAGCATAACATACCATCTGAATGGTTCTGGGCCCTTTCCAGGTGCTCACTTTCATTTGATGGATAAGACTCCTCTACTTGACAAGTGCAACACAGCCACTTGAGCATCCTTCTTATCTTCAAATACAAACATTATTCCATTGAAAATTTCATTTTTTCAATACAAAAGACTACGTGAAAAATCAGAAATAAAATTTTAGTTTATATGCACAACAAAATTGTGCCCACTAAAACCACTTTCAAATGTGTATTTTTAAGAAGCAGAGACCAATGTATATAGGCTATATATGCGTTTACATGTGGTAGACAAGTGCGGGAGGAGAATAAAATGAGAGAGATATAAGGAAACCAGGTTATCCTGGAAGGGCACCAAGGGCTGACTATCCTGATGACCGTCGCCTCTGTTCCAAGGAACGCTCTGCTTTTAAACAATGTATGAGAAATAAAATTTATGAACTTAAAAAAAAAATTTAAATAACAAAATACAAACTTTGTATTTTAATCCTAGGATGACTGATAATAATCATCTACAGGAAAAAACAAAATTGAAGCCCATTTTGAATGAAACTCAGAAGTTAAAAGGTCTGAAACAAGCCATTGAAATTGTAATTTTGACAATACCATGAAAATTTCAATAACATTTAACCCAAAAATAAATAAAAAATAAATAAAAAACAGTGGACCAAGGTATATAGGCTACATATGCATTTACATGTAGTAGACAAGTGCATAAGGATAATGAAATGCAAGAACAATGGCGTGATAGAAGGAATCCTGCAGAGAGAAATATTCTTTCTTGCCTCATCCCGTGCCAGGGATCCCCACACGAGACCCAGAGTATCGGGGGAAATTGCCCTCCATACTCATCTCCCACCTCATCTCCCAACTACCACGTCGTCCCATTAGAGACAAGTCACGCAACCTCCCTAAACACAATCAACGAACCCTCTGCTCTATAAAACTCTCCGCCTCTCTCCGACCCCCTCAGGAAGTAGCAAAATCTATCAGTGCATCACTTTTCAATTTGTCTGAAATTGGGTGTAACTTTTACAATCTTCAGAGGCAACCCAGCTCTAAGTCTTTACTGATTCAGCTGCGAACAGAGGCTGCCGTCATCACCGCCATCTTCCTTTTAAGACATGATTATGACTGATTAGAAATTAGGTCGGAGGCCCAACGACGCATGTACTATACTTTTTATTTTTTATTTTTTTACTAATTAATTATTTGATAATATAAAATTTTTAAATTTTAATTTTAAATTAAAAAATTTAAATTATTAAATATCAATTCAATAAAATTTCCATTCGTATGCATCTGGCCTAGAGGCCCACTAACATTAATCAATCAGTCGGTGTATTTCCCTATTTCTGAACGAACGAATTTCAAATCCACTCCTTACCAAATGTTAAAAAAAAAAAAATTTCCATTCGTTTATTATACTTTTTATATTTTTAGAAGTTTGACTTAATGGATCTTTACTTCTTATTATTATTATTATTTTAATATTTTAGGCCCTGGTAGGTTTCCTTTCCATTGTTGCATCTAATAAAGGGTTTATTAAAATCTTATTTTTGATCTTTCAACTTTTGTACAGAGTTTTTTTAGTCCTTCAATTAATTTTTTTTAATCATAAGTGAAAAAAAAATTATTTAATTTGTATGATTATATGTGATTCTGTAATTAACATAATGACAAGTTTGCTCAAATTCAGGAGTTCAGAAGTTTGCATGCTACTTTTTTTACTTTGAGGGCTTAAGTGACAAAATGAGACTCTTAATTTTGAGAATTTTAAATTATATGTTGTAGACATTTAAATGTAAATAAATTACTGTATTAACATCTAAATATAAAGAAATTGCTATGCAAATGAAAACACAAATGATTATACAAATGATTATTTAAATTATGTCACCACACATGATTTTAAATTATGGCATTTTCTTTTCTTTGTGTCAAACTAGTTACAAGGAAAGAGTTAACCAATTGCATTTGGTTACTTGTAAAGAAAATGTATGTCAGGAAAAAACTAAGTCCAAAATTGTCAATCAGCAAGAGCTTAATGGGTATTGAACGGGAAAAGACAGAATGATGATGTGTGATTACTTTATCTATTAATTTTGGCTAATTTATTTCAACAGAAATATAGGAGGTCTAATTAATTCAACTTGAAAGTATGAGGGGACATTTATTTTAAGAATAAGTATAGGTGTTCATTTCAATAGTCACGGGAAGTGGAGAGGTAAATATACCCTTTTTAACCTTCTTTTTTATTCCCAAATTTTCCAGATTATCTAAGTATATGTGCTGTCTTTGGCTCGTCTAATTTTCTGCTAGCTTGATATCTTCTACTGTATGGAAGAGATGGTGGTGTAATTCATCAATCTTTAGAGAAAAGTAGATAAGGATTCGCTGACAACCCCTTTCTTCCCCTTGATTTTCCCTTGTGAAAAGGCTGTAAGAAGAATGTCATTTTAAAATAAATTGTGTCTCGGATCCAACAATTGGCAAAAATGAAGGATCAATTCTCGCACAATGAGCTCAAATTTGCCTTAGAAGCATGTCAAGTAAGTCCAAAAATTGTGGTTAGACAAAAATCTAAATCACAGGCAGAAAGTTAAAAAGTGCAGTAAGCTAAAATTCAATCGAACTGTCAATTGCAACAAGAATGTAAGAAGCTTTGAATTTAATTGAAATTGCAGACATCTTAAATTTAATTTAATGTTTAATAATTGACAAGTAGAAGCAAACAAAAATACAAGATAAATGTTATTGAGAGTAATCTTACCAAAACTAAATTAACAATAAAAAGAATCCAATAGGAAATGCTCTTTTACTCCTACTAGACTCTGAATTCAAAGTAAACTTGATGATAATAACTTTGAACTATAAAATCACTAAGTAGACTAGGTTAAACTAAGACATACTTGCGTAAAGTGTTGAGTTTTGAAAGTATATTGATTTGTGTGAGAGAGGCATGCCTAAGAAACTGGAAACATGTTGAAAATTTATATTTAAAGTTCTACTGAATCTGCTTGACAAAAATTTAACCTTGATTCTCCTCACCGTCCACGGTTGCACAAGACCTCAATAGCTCTGAAATCAACTCTTATCACTTGATTAATTGGTTGCCAACAATGGAATTTCAGCAGCCAAAAACCAAGAAGAACATATTTGTTGGAACCGCTTGGAGTCTGTCCTTAATTTTCTCAATTGACCCAATCAACCTCCGTCTCAATTTTGTCTCTAAAACCTACAAACTCATCCGTACCAAAGAAGAAGGAACTAGTTATATTGGAATGAGTGGTGATATAAAGGGTGTCCCCCAACTTAATACATTTAAGAAAATTAAATTTTTTTAAGTGTTAAATGTCAATTAAATTAAAATTTAATTTTTTTTAGTATGTGATTTAGATACAATAAATAAAATAAAATCAAAACCTTTCGGTTTGACTTCTAAACTCGCTTTCCTCTTCTTTTTTTCTTTTTTTTTTTTCTTTAACAGCGAAATAAAATTTAGAAAAAAAACATTAATTTTTGCACTTGAACCTTTTTATGTTTGATCAATGAAGCCCTCAAATTGATTTTTACAAATAAAACCCTTGAACTTTTCAATTTAGCTCAATGCTCATATGTATAACGAACAACTAATATCTGTTTCCATAAAATGATAGTCCTATCTTATGTCACATCCTAGCTAGCAAATATAGGCTTCAGTAAACAACTAAAACTAACAACAATTTGATCCCAACAAATTTAACCATATAAGAGTACTACACACTCCCGTAGGGAGTTCTTGTGCTCCTTTTTGCCAGAGAAAAGTACAGTAGACAGGTGAAGTTCTCACAGAAAAAAGATGATATTATAGGAAGTCAGGACCTAGCCTGGTTCAAGAAATATGAACCTTGCAATATACTTTCCTACTACTTACCTACGCATTGCATCTAGCTAAATTTGATTGAGCCATTGATATAAGTATCTCTTTAAGCCTCATAAAGCATCCCAACCTCAATACACTGTGGTGGCGGCACCCCTAGAGTAGGCAAGGCTGATCTGGAATTACAATGAAGAACTTCATAAAAGACAAGCATGAATCTGTCAAACCTGCCACATTTCTTACTAATGTAAAACCTTGTCTTGCCCCGAATGTGAACCACACCTGCCATTTTGGCCTCTTCCAGCTCAGAAATCTCAGGCGGAGCCTGTCTAGGTTCAGATGGTAAACAACCCAAACCGTTTCCTACATATGCCACTAAGCTCTTAGTGAACTGACTCAAGACTTGACTCATAAAATCATCTCCTTCCAGGTTCAGCGGATCAGCATAGCCATACTGGATCAGACACGGATAAACACTTTCTGGTCCTAATTTGGTGACAATAATCCTCTCATGTCGATCAACCTTTGGAACCAGTAAATACTTAAGTGTTGTGAAAATAATGACCTTGTGAAGAGATCTCATGTTTTTGACATAATGTCCCAGGACAAGAGTCAAACCATCTTGAATGTTGGTGTAGAAGAAGCACAATCCAGGAACCTTTCGGACACCAGGATCAGACAATAGCGTTCCAAGTTTTGCCAATTCAATCCTGTGTGTTAGTTCGTACTCTATCTTTCTGTGTCTCCCATAGCACCAGCCAAACATAATGAAGGCAAGGATTAAAGAAATGGCAAAAGGTATCCATCCACCCTCAAGAATTTTCGTGCAGACTGCACTCGCATAAACATTCTCCATCGTGAAAAATACAGAGAAGAAAATTGCAACCTGCACTGATGATGTTCTCCAAATAATGACCATGACTAATGCCAGTAATATAGTTGTAATGAGCATGACTAGGCTAACAACAACACCTGCAACAAGGTACAGTTAAACTATTGTATCAGCCACATGAAGAATGTTGACCTGCTGCTTAGTAGTTTTGGTTTTAGAAGCAGCATACGGTATGA